CAGATTATGACTGAATTGTCATCCGTATAATAAGTCTAGGATAGATTGGGTAATCTTTCCGTGATTCAACTAGCATACAAATTACAATATATATATATATAGAAAATGTAAAGCACTATTTCTGAAAGTACATAACGTAGTGTGCAGCTGCCCCTATATGACAGGACATTAGGAGATAAATGACAAAATTTTCCAAGAAATTTAATTTTGAAAAGAGAAACTGGTGGATGGATTAATTTTTATTTTGGGAAAATATTAATGATTAAACAAACTAGCATGGTGTTCTTGAAAGCACAACATTGAAATCTAACTAAGCTTGAGCTAATTAAATTTTCTTACACCACTTGGTGTTACATTTCTACTTATTTGAAAATCACTATAAAATTCCGTTTGTTAATTCGCAGAAAATAAATGATTTGAAAAATATTTTCTCAAAAAATGATTGCTTGTACTGCTTACAAAAATGAATTAACCAAAAAATCTTTTCATTGTCCATGAAAATGTTTAAACATAAATTATTGTCGATAGCGAAAGCATTTTTCATTAATTAATAATTTCAAGCGACATTAATGATCATTTTTAGGAAAATATTTTTCAATTCATTTATTTTTTGCAAAACAAACGGAGCCTAAGTCTACCCACGATGTTAATGCATTATCTTGTGAATTACATGTACGGTAAAATAGGACACTGGCCATCATCATTGGCCTCAAATGTGCACAAACATTGCATTTACACAAAAGAACTGATATTTGCAAAATTGAGCAAAACTACTTTATTACTTAATTTTTGAATGATTAGACAATGGAGAAATTATTAATTATATAAATATATCTATATATGGAGAAATTATATAAGATTGTTGTTAGATAGAAATTATTCATATTTTAATATTAAAATATGTGAGAGATTATGTGTACTTATTAAGGTACCCATTTGTATGTGGATTCAATAATTGTAAAATATTGTAATTAGAACACTTCGGGGGGAAAAATGAGTGATGTCCCTTAATTATAGGAGTTATTTTGTGAATATTTTTTTGTACATCTGCATCACTGATAGTAAATAATGCAAGGTGCTATATACTACGTGCGTGACAAAAAATTAATAAGTTACCTGTGAATCGACCATTAAATTATATATAATACATGTGAATACGGTAAACAAGTTTACTATCGAGATTTTTTCTTTAATTGGACCGACGGCACAGAGAGTCACGACCTAATCATAATACATAAACCTTAGTATCGAAATACATTTACTCGTTAAAAAAGCTACCTGAAGCGACCATAAGTTTATGAGCACTTGAGCAGCACGCGGAATCCATCGCCATTTAATAAAAAAAAGAAAAAGAAAGACCCTGTTTGGAAGTAAACCTTAAAGTGAATATTCAGATTTTAGTGACTTAAAATATGTGAAACCCCAATTTGCAAGAAAAATAGCGACTTAAAAATATAAATTTCGTGCACAATGGGGCAACTCACCAATAATAATAATAAAAAAAAGGGAGGGCATTTCTTCTCTTACAATTTCCCAATTATTGATAAGATTCTTTGCTTTTGGAAGAGCTGAGGCCTTCGACTCCATACAATTCTTGCAAAATCTCCCATCAATCAAATTCTTTTTTTCTTCTCCTTTCTGGAATGTGCTTAACACGAAAACGACAGCGTAAACTAAAATTAAGATATTATCACAAAATAATGGTTAAAATCACGAAAAATCCTAAATTGGTATACCTATGATACTTTTACTTCAAACTAATTTTTTGACCACCAAAAACCTCAAACTGGTACATCTGTGATAAATTTACCCTCCGTTAGTTTCCATTAAATTTTACTGTCAAAATTCTGAGTTTGATGACACTCCGGATTAGGTCGACACGCTCTAAGTTGTTCCTGAAACATGCATTTCCACGCTCCTAATGGTTTGAACCAATTAAGCATATCACCTAAATGCTTGAATTTGTCTTCTCCCTAGAGAATTCTATCATACCCTCTATTTGTCACAAGTGTACTGATTTGTGGCTTTTCGTGATATTAATCTAATTTAATAGAGGGTGAAATTTCGTCAATGTACCAATTTGGGATAAATTTATCACAGTTGTAACGGTTTGCGATTTTTCATGGTATTAACCAAAAAAAAAAATTAAGATGACCAGGCTAAAGGTATTTGATTTTTGAGCGGGTGTCATGCGGCCGTACATTTGTGCGTTTATATGTCAATTTAAATGACTAAAAAAAGAAAGAAAATCAAAGCGACTTATTATACTGATTGAAAATAGAACTGATCAAATTATTGCAAGCAAGTTGCTCTTCTGCGCATGCCTTTGACTATTTTACGAACCGCACCAACAAAAACCGCAAGCAATTAAAAGCGCTGGCAACGCACGTGGGACTAAATAGTCTTTAAGACTCTATCGCTCACAAACCGCGAGTACGCGAATCATTGAATTATCGACTGCGATGGGAATATATACTCTCAGTTTAATCACGCTTCGAATCCATTATATAATTGTGATTATTAACCCGAGAAAGGGAAAATGGTCCCTTTCATCCCAAAATAACACCGTTCGTTTCGCGTAAAATGAATAATTTTGATAACATTTTCCTAAAAATGATCGTCCATATCGCTTATAAAAATAAACGAACGATTTTTATCGTTCTCGGGAATATTTAAATATAAATTATTGCTCACGGTGAAAAATATTTTTATTGTTATTTTTAAAATTATTTATCTTTTCGCGGAATAAAAGGCGAGGTATTTTATGTTTGGGCAATTTTTTTAACGTTTGGGTTGACCGAGTTTCGATCAGACGCGTAAATTCTTTGGAGGAAGAAACCAACGGCGCGTAACAAAACTTGGCCAAAGGTCTCCCTCCCTTTTAACGAGTGAATGTGAAACTGCGCCATCAACTTGTTGATGATGGCGATGTCACTTTGTTCCTTTTCTACCGGGAAAAGACACATTTGGCTTGGCTTACGTTGCTCTATGTTTCAGACTTTTTGTCAGTATCCACGGCGATTTGTGAACCAGGGTGGTGGATGATAGATCGGGGCAAAGTGGAGCAATAATAGCTTTTTGATGGGGACATCGGTGCCCGAGTTCCGGGTACGATCGATCCGCATCGACACGATAGATGTTTTCGCACGAGATTGTCGTGGAGCCCAAAAAGAACCATGTCGTGGAAACGCGGTGCCCAACGGGTTCCGTGATCCCGACAATCCGGCCCGATCCATGTAAACCGAGCCTCCTCCCCCCCTGGAACGATCCCGACATGGGATTTTGGGGGTGTTGCAAACTTCTTTATACCAACTCGTCAATGTACTGCTGCCCTTTCAATGTGTAGTCGGCTACATTCTATCTTCTCCATCATCTTAGAAGCCCGGGAGCCGTACTTTATTTGAGACTTCTTGCTCTTGTTAGATTCGGATATGAACCTAGCTTGTCCCATACCACACATATCAACTGGAGAGAATCATGCTCTAATATTATCTACAAACGACCCGCCCCGGTCCACGTCAATCAAGCCCCCAAACGAAATATCCAGAACAACCACACAAGGTGATGACCATCCGATGCAGGATTTGAGGGTCACGAGGACACCTCGTGACCGCATTTGCTATTGCCCAAAAGTCAAAAAACTTATCGCTCGTCACTGTTTGCCTATGTTACTCGTGAATCCGTGGGTGTGGTGGCGAATGCAAAACTCCCACGAGAGCCGTAAGCAAAGCAAAAACGCTTGCATACAACGTGGGGGGCGAATTATTGACATCTGCAAGCCGAAAGAGACAGCACTTCCATAGCTTCTGTTCAAATGCTACGTGGAGAGTTCCTGGTGATTACGGAACGCGAGCGGCCACGTTCACTGTTCCCTCGCTCGACAACGATCGGTACGTGCAGTCCCCCATGAGTGAAGAAGCTGCGAGGATGTTTCCCAGAAAAGACACGAAGCATAAACCCAAGACAAAACCAACCAAAAACGAGGATAAATTATCATAGAAAGAACAAAGACCTCACTTCTATACGCCTAACGCGTGAGGTGGGGTCTTCGTGAGGACAAAGACAGCAACCCCTTTTTACTTGCGATGTGCGCCTCTCGTGCTCATGCAGAATAATCCGAACCGCATCGATAAACTACCGAGGACCACCTTTTTCTCCGCCGTGACCGAACAATACGTGATAGGGATGCTGAGTAAACGGTTTCGTCTTCGTTTATGTGCTAGGCAACACGAATTAGAACATTGTTGGAGGTTTAGATGAGTCGATCGTTGTCCCCACACGTTCTAAGACGCATCGTTCTATAGAACAAAGTTGGTCAGCAATGAATGTTGCGTGAGGAAAGTAAAAGCACACTTGGTTAAAAGAACTCTAAAGCTTGAAAAGGACACGGCATGACCCATGCATGCTTGGTCGAAAGGAACCACTATCATTCATTGATCAATCAGTAGAATAGCTAGAGGGTTTCCACTAAGCCACAGGTCAATGGCCACAAAGCAAAGCCATAGGCACTCCCTTCCTAATGGAAAACTTATTCCACTAGAGTAACCCAATCTATTTTTCAGACTGCTTCCTTTTGGCAAGCCAAACCAGCTGAAAGGATGAACCACACAGCGGTGTGTGATCGAGCCAAGGAGTCACCGAGAAAAGCAAAGAACATGCTCGGCTAAATGACCCTAGACAATGGGCTTGGAACATCAAGTGGTGAGTTGGGTAGGCGAAAAGAGCAACACTTCAGGCCATAGAATAAGGTGGAAGAGGTGAAGCGGGGGGAAAAACAGAAAAGGAAAGACGGTCAAAGGGGGCAAAAAGAAAAACTATGTTCATCAAATGAATCAATCCAATTCTTCCCAGGATAATGCTAACAATCCTTTTCAAACAAAGGACTGGTTTAAGCAGTTACTTGACTTGAAAAATCTTCTTAATCTGGCCATCAGGTCCATCAGTTGTTTAGTCGAGGTGATTTAGTAAAACACAGATCCAACCAACATTAGGAACTGAAATTGGAAAGGGAAGAGCGACCGCCAGTTGCTGTATAGCCCAGCAACCTAGCAACTCCAGGTCAATTAAAAAATTACCCATGAAATTATTAAGTCCTTCCACATGCTGAAGGTCATGTGCTCATCTAGAAACTTCAAAAGCTTAAAAGCATCTACATCTTAAACCTCTCCTAGACTACAGACAGCACAAAGATGCATCAGGCTAAGTATTAAGAGAAACCTCCGGCTGTCGCATTCGACGCCTACGCCTCAATCTTCTGTGGCTTTGTGGAGGAACTTTATTTGTCCCACTTGAGGTAACTGGATGACGAATCTCCTCTTCTGTCATCATACCTCCAAAAATACAATCAAGGGGGTCGCCCATCACGTCAACTCCATAGCTCGCCTATAATGAGATGAGTTGGACCAATATTAACCATAAAATGAATATACTAGGGAAGAAGCAAAGAACTTCTCAAAATTTAGTCCACGAAATGATAGTGTCGTATTAAGAGCAGATAAACGCTATCAAATCTCAAACTCCGTACAGCGCGTGAAGCATCGCTAATATATAATTGTTAACAAAACAAGCAACTGTTACTCGTCATCTTGACATGGCGATATATAACATTCGGAGAGGCTCAAAAGCTAAAGATTCATGTTAATGGTAATGGACAGGGAGGTCTAAATGGCATAGACATAAAGATTCGGTGTCATGGAGGAATGAACTGCGGTGATGTTCTGACTGATTCATGTCAGTAAAACAAGGCTGCTGAAAGCAGATTTCCCTTAAACACACCATTTTGTATTGACTAATTGCAACCGCTAGGAGATGAAACAAGCCATTTCGCTTACCATAAGGAAGCAACCGTCACCATCAATGTTTTTATACAAATCCTGCATTCACTGAGATTAGATTTTTATCGTTTTTTAAGGGGGCGGGGGGGAAGTGTTTACTTGCATAGTGTCCAATGGAGCAGCCCACCGCAAACTAGTTGTGGTCATTACAAGATATCTGTCACATAATTGATAATTCATGGAATTGAGGGTAGTATTAGGGGTGAACAGTTCCAGGTTCCGTATAGGTTCCACCTAAAACCTGGAACCTACCCATGGGAACAGGTTCCTCATTTTTAGAACCTGGAACCTATCCTACATATCTTGGAACTTGAAACCTACCCTGTCATAGGTTCCAAGGTCGGTTACAAGTTCTACCTAGGTTCCACCTGGATGATTAATTGAACAATTGCAGTGAATCATTATCTTTAATGATCACCAATTGCCGTAACAATCCACTTACCATAACTTATATTTAGACACACGAAAAATATGAAATATTAACAAAGTAAAATTCCCAGTCATAAAAAAGAAGCTCAGACTAGTGATTTCAAATTATACACTCATCATCAGACGTCGTGAAATACTGCAAGATCACGCAAAGACATAAACTAAGAAAAACACAAAAACTTGTTTTAAGTTTCAGTACCTAAAACCTAGAACCTGCCCGTCGAAAGGTTCCCCAATTTTTGGAACCTGGAACCTACCCCGCATATCTTGGAACCTGGAACCAACATATTTCCATCGGTTCGGTTCTTAGGTTCCACGTTCGACTTGAAACCATGCTCACCCCTAGGTAGTATGTTCTTGTATGCAGGATAGTAGGCAGAAAAGGCCTATGCAAACTTCTTGGTGGCTGGTATTTCAGTTAAATCGGATCGCACTGAAGTTGACTTTTCAATACAGAAAATGACTCTCAACTCAAAAAGGTGATCAATTTATATTATTTGGGTTTTTCTTTATATAAACCAGTGCAAATAATGCAATATGGGCTCACAGTATTACTGTCTTACTTCTATAATCCTGTATTGATAACACAAGCTTTCGATTATGTTTTTTCTGCCATTGAAACTAATTTGCCCAGGATCTTCTCCTACACTGTGGAGGCAGAACTTAGACAAGCTTAATTGATAGAGATTTTCTATAATCAAAACTTATGTGCATCAGGGAATCTTTCTTAACAGTAAACGGATTGTGCCTTAAGCTATTGAAAATTACACTCAGAAATAGGCGGTAAAATAATACCCGAGAAAAAAGGCCGGTTGCTTTACTCAGAGAATTGCGCTTCAACTCTATTGCCCTTTCAATGTCAGAGTCGCTTGGGAAGTCAACTGAGTTGGTTTTGGAGTCATTCTCGGGATTGCCGTAGGAATTCTTCCCCATATTTCTGTTGAAGTCATAATCATGCAACTGTTGACTCCTCCCACTGTGAACGTCAGTTTCATGGGTCTGCTGGCCATAAGCAACCCCATCGCTATAACTATTCCGGTAACGCCACCTCAACCTTGGTTGATCCGAAGTGGAATCGTCAAATACTTGCTCCGAATAGAAATGCCTCGCTAGAAGCCGCATTTTGCCTGGATCATGATGATATTTCCTCACTATTCTGTGGCACATAAAATGATGAAACTTAAGAGACTGGTTATGAAGGCATGCACCAGTCTAAATAACATGAAATAAAGTCTATTGACTGAAGCCAAAGGACCAAACATGAACAATCCATCTTATCACAAATGTGGAGTTACAACATTTGGTACAATTGGTGGATGGTGGGGATCAAAAAACATGGATATTGAATTTGAAAGCGCAGATGAAGGACTCTTTCTGTAATTCATCTATGTTTTGCACATACCAATACTTCTGGTGATTCCTCAAATTCTCATGATCGTGTAGAAGTTCCAATTTATATATTAGCCTATCTGAGAGTAACTGGGAAAGAAGGGCTTAAAATGCCATCAACGACCAAAGATGAAAATAACCAAGTGTTTCAATATTAAGCTCACGCTAGTGTGTTCCTGCGTCAACACATAAACAGGTGCGCATTACATCTTCGTGAAGTGCGCATTCTCAAATCCTTTGCATGTGCATGCGCATGGAGTCGCCATGTGAATGAGCACGTGCACTAGGACAGAGCATGCAAGTTTAAAACTTTGATTAAGATGCGCGAAGACCAACCATGGTGACCAATGAAGACTTCAGGATTAAGACAAATCTCAATCTTTGGTTGGTGTGCTGTTAAGGATATCACCTAAAGGCCAAACATCATAACAAACGAACCATTCATGATTTTTACATAATACACAACTATGATAAACTTCTTAGTGAGTCCAAAGCAGTCCATCTCGACAATGACTTTTACAATGACTGACAAGGAATCCACGTAGCATTACTATGGCAGCAGAGAAAGGGATAGATAAATAGTGTTGAAGACCCCACACTGCAAATTTCTAGAAATATGACAATAAAGCAGCACTTTTGCATGCCTTTTCTTGTCTTCCAAGAATGAAGATACCATTTCTCATGAGTTTTACTATAGAGCACAATAAAATGTACCAAAAAAATTTCAACATAGTCATCAAACCTTATAAATAAAGAAAAGGAAGGCTTATTATTTTAGAGGTTAATCAGAAACTCTTTGAACGTCCCAATACAAGCTAGAACGCTCTTAACCAAATTTCACAAAAAAATACTTACACTCCCAACAGTAGAAACCATTACGTCTTGATTATGTAGCATGTGCATCTACTGTATTTTTAGAAAATTGGGAGATAAACCAGCAACATGACTGTAGTTACTTCTAATAATCTCACTCAGCTAGGTTCCGGTACACACTTAAGAACAGAAATCACAGGTCCTGACATTGTCTTTAGTGACATTAAAAAAGCGTAAGTGTAGAGCAGACACCGGAAGAGCCCAGCATGGCATTCATAAAAATCTTCAGAGCGCAATTACATATTTGCTAATTCCTCTTGCATCCGACTGCCATGTAGTGCAAGAATATGGTCAGCACATGAATCTAATGACTTAGACAATCTCCATATTCCACAGGCAAAAGCGGATCCTACACAGAAAATGAAGTGACATTTACTGTCAAAATAAAGCAATCAACTAAATGATCAATATCAACATGAGAAGTCCCTTTACCTACTGACAGGCTAACACGTAGCAAATGATTTAACCTCCCTGTAGCTGCAGAAATGCGCTGACCGTCAAGAGACTACCATAGAAAGAAAAGAGGAGAAGAGCGGGGGATAGAGCCCCTCAAGAATCCTATACTACCTTCTTAACAAAGGAAACATGAAATCACTCAAGAAAGCCTGTTTGACATGAAAACTGGATATTTTCCTGTACGCAGAGAGAGCCCGCATAGAGCTCTTTTCAGGGCTTTGAATAGGGCTTTCGGGATTTGAAAGGCCACATGGCAACTTACTCTCCCTCTAAATTGCTTTTTCTCATATCACACACTAGATATTAACCAAAGTAATAAGTTATCTTAGGCTTTGCTATTCACAAGACACATGCCCCATTTATTTTCAAATGGTTATCATTTCAATTCTTAATGAAAAATTAATACTAAATCTGTTGTCACTTTGCTAACAATGGCAGAGTTTTGTCTTCTGTTGATTCTCTAACAGGTCGGCCTCTAAAAAGTAGAGAGTCACACCACAGTCATTGCCGAACTTTCTTCCTAGGTCTGCCACTCTTAACATGAATCTTTTTTTTCCTAAAGTAAAACAATTGGGAACCTACAATCTAAATTCTGAACCATCAAGACTCATTGAAGAATCCTAGAAACCATAAAAACTCAGTGTAAATCACGTAGAAATGCTCAATGACAATGTGAGTTGGGCCAAAACAAAAAAAGACAAAGTAAGTGAAATTCTTTCCCAAAAAACCTTTTTGGTTATAATCTATTTAGAGTTCCTCAGGATAGTGGCTCAAAGAACATGATTGTCTTTTCTAATTTTGGAGAATCTTTTCTTTCTTTGAAGTACTCAACTCGGGGCAGTGACTAGTAATGCTGGCTAGTAGGTGTTTTAACACAGAACAGATTGATTTTCGGATAACCAAGGCCAAGTGCAGGATACTAAAATGACAGCATATATGTTCTAAAATTAACCAGAGACCAAGTTGCATTGACATATATATTCAAGCAACACAAGCATGATTAGAAGGCATTTCAATACACTGAAGTAAACTCTCTCTAAATAGGATATTGGCATATTTGCAATGTGAAATTCCTGTGATAACGTAAAACCAAAAATCTAAATCTGCAAATGTCTCATACCATAGTCTTCAATCTGATATACTATACAATAATCAAAGACTGGAAGGAGCAAAAAAAACTGAAAGTGTTGCTCTAAAATAGACATGCTGCTGTTAGTCAGTCCAGTGTACAGCGGCATTGATAATCATCCGGTATATCTATCCAAATCTGACACACTCTTACTCTGCATAGCCAGCCATGTATCAACCATAAGCACCCGCACTCTGTATTTGAGAGATATACTACAGTTGATTATTACCTGAAATCCGGGGTTTCAGGAATACGCAATCAACATATCGATGATGCCTTTCCGCAAGTCCTTATTATTCCCCCCACATTTCCTTCTCTCTCACGTGCGATTGGATAAGATGTGAAGGAGGAGATAGTGATCGAGCCCAAACTGTCGTGACTTTGAAAATGGTGGATCACAACTAAGACCGAGCCCTCATTCATCCATTTGTTTAAAAATCTAATTACTTATGCCGTGATCACCTATACAAATTCGCGCAATCTACATCTTTTGCCTACAGATGCCATGTGGGCATCTAAATTTGAGTCCGACAGTAACTCGAAAAGAATCATAAGCCGAGGCGAAATGCAAACCTGTCCATACAATGCCGGAGGTAAGCCCGATACCATAAGCGAAATTGTCCAAAGCTTTCGACTTGCACGCCGACAGAAGTTTGGCTTCCTCGAGAGTCATCGTCACCTGAGCAGATAAACTAGAATTCAAGACTGACCCACCAACACAATCACCAGTCACATCACAATGCACTACTCCCCGTTCCTCCACCAGGCACGAGCAAAGCAAACGCTCAAAAAAAAAACCAAACGAATTCGCCCCCACGACAGCAGACGCTGAACAGCCCAGGAACCCGACACGCACTTTAGGTTCAAACATCCGGAAAGCCAAACGCGGCTCTCAACCCGAGCTCAATCGGCGGCGGAATCATCATGGGTCGGCAGATTGCCGGCGCTAATTGCGGAACCCAGACACGGATGAAGCGACGACACGCATCGGAGAGGGAAAGGGGGAAGGCCCCCCGGCGGTACCTTTTTGGACCTGAGAACTTGCTCGAGCTCGATGAGAGCTTCCGCCATGGCTCGTCGCGAGCAGAAGTTCGCTTCGGATTCGCCGGCGGCCGCCTTCCCTGGGTCTGCTCCGGTCACGTAGTTCCAGCTTATCCTGTTTGATGCGCCCCTGTTTTAGCGGCGACGTACAGGCGATCCATGGGCCGGCCCGGCCCGGACGGATCCCCGGGTCGGGCCGAAATTACGGCCCAAGCCCGTCCATCGGCAATATTTGATAGGGATAATTACAAGAATGATCCTGAACTTTGGCCTAATGTCCAATATCGTCCCTAAACTTTAACTTTTTGATTCAATGTGGTCCATGGACTTTTGATACATGTTTAATTTAGTCCATGGATTGTATGAAAATATTTAATGTTGTCTCTGAACTTGAATTAATTGCAGGATAACGTTGAATATTTCATACAGTCTAGAGACCACATTGAACAAATAAAAATTTCAATGATGATATTACATATTGGGTTAAAGTTCAAAGATCATGTTGCACATTTGATCCAAGTTCATGGACCATTTGTGACCCGTCAAAAATATGACCTCGATATATTTAGTGGTAACGATATGGATTTTCTGTAGTCCCTCGAGAGAGAGATCGACCGACCAACCCGAAAACGTCATAACTTGTGAATTATGTTGGGTTTCGTGAACGAATTGTTGTACCTCAAAAACACTTCAAATATTTTTTAACGAACGATCGAGATTGCAATCTGCCAGTCACTGAGCTCCTAAGAACGGATCCTCCAAGATCTATAGAAATGCCCCAATTACTATAAACCACAAAAGTACTTTTGATTCTACAAATTGAGAAAGTCCAATCACATGGACTTCATGTTTTGGTTCCATTATGGTGAAAGAATTTCATTCGTCACTTTTGTGTTCCACATCAAATTCGACAGGTTTTTATTCAAATCGATTGTTTTTCTGTTTATTTCCCTTTTTTGAGTGAAATTCATGTAATAATGATGCAAAATGATGCTTTCTCAATCCATATAAAATTCCAACTAAGTATTTTCTGTCAAGTTCTTATTCGTAAATGTTGAATATTACATAAACCCATTATTTATTATCCGAACATTTGGATTTGGATGGAGAAAAATATGCACAATGGATACGGTGCGTTTAACATCCACTTGAAGTCTCAAAACACCATATGCATTCATCTCATATAGAATTGTTCATTTTCGACATACAATTTTATCTTCATTCAATCAATTTAAACAGAGGTTATCAATATCATTCACTTAAACCCACTAAGGAGAACAATGTCAAATATGATTGATAACTTTACCAATTAATATTTCGCACCTATCACTAATACGCGATTTTCCTATAATCCCCCCGGTGGTACTTCCACGCGAAACACGCCGAGCGTGTTCTTGTCCCGAGGTAAGATAATTTAAAAACGGGGATAAAGTGCTTTTTAGTAAAAAGAGTTTGTGCATCCGACCGAACTCCACGTTGATTTCCCATAACACGAGAATACTCCGCCCCGCATCTCGCGACACACGAATGAGAAAACACCATCTGGGGGAGGGCATCATCAACTTTAGAGCTGCTCATGAAATTATTTAATTTCAACAGTGACTAAGGTGTCATCAACCCCTACAAAATATTTTACTAATTCTTTCTCGCCTAAACTCAGTGTTGAGATCATTGTGCTATGAAGTAGTGAGACAGAGGAGCAAAAGGGGCTTCCCCAAAAGCACAAGAGGACACACACACACACACACACAAGTGAGAGAAGAGAATCACTCCAATGTGATCATTGGTCCTATGAGCTTTGGTCCTACCCCCCTTTTGCTTTTGGCAAACATTGGTCCTGTATGCTTTGGTTTTTTTCTATTATGACTCTGTCAAAGAAAAGGAGAGATAAGCACCCCCATAATGCAAGCTTTTGGTCACACATCATTGTCATGACTATGATGCCCACTTTGCAAGCCAATGTGCCACTGTTCACACAGCACCAAACAGCAGAAAATTAGCAAAATGGCAACTTCCCTAATTTATCATCACTCCATCAAAATTGATCCCAGAAAACCTGAGTCCCATCAGAAGACTCTGTGCTTGAAAGGTAAAGTACTTGCAAAAGATCTGAACAAGGCAGGCAAAATTTGACAGGGAACAGGGGAGACTGTTCTTCTAAAACTCTAAGACTTTCAAAAAAAGCTAAACGAAGAAAAGGAGGAGAAAAATCGCAGGTAGCTTTGAAACATGAGACTGAGAGATCACTACTAGCCAATAGAGACTTAAGTTTCCGTGCCCTCTTCAAGCAATATTTGCTGCGATCTGCATTCGCCACTGCAAAATGCTTTCTCCCCCCTGAAATAACCAAAATTTTAACCTTTCATAGGTCAAAATGGAACCATGAGAAGCATATAGATTAAGCAACTATGAACTAACGACCAAGTGATGCGGATCAATTAACAGCATAATTGTAAAAACGAATTTCTACATATTAACCAAATCTAAACCTTCAGTTTGTATGGAATTGCAATGACAAAATGAGCTAAGTGCTCTGCTTCAGGGATAGGGGAATTTTCTACTGACCTGTAAATGTAAATGTCCTCTCCATCTCCAAGATTTTTCTTGCAAGTGTAGCAGAAGCTAAGGAAACTCTCAGAAGGAAACCTACAATGATCCGCCAAAAACAACCCATTGTCCTTCCTGCAATCTGCTTCTGACAACCCTATAGAACCCCAGCGGCTCTCCACAATGCAGTCATCGAATATGTGCGTCGTCTTCGGGTTCGGTCCGTGTGAGATCACGCAAGTGTAGTCCTCCGAGAGCTCCATCTCGCTAGCTGAAATCAAACCAGCCAAAACGACCCCACCAGGAGGGGGTCTAATTGCCTCTTGCTTATTTGCTGGAGAGTGACCCAGGCTTGGGGACAAAAAGCCCAGTTGGGAATTCCTAGTTTTGGTGCCAAAATCAGTGGGGGTTTTTGGGATTTGAATCTTGAGCTGAGAGCCAAACAGTACAGTCAAGTTCTCAGGTTTGTGTGAATCGAGTTTGGAGCAATTATCATCTCTGAGAGCATCCACAATAGCTAGGCCAATGCTTTTGGGTTCCGAGATTTTGGGAGAGCTGGTGTCTGACAAGAACGAGCTCTTCGAGTGGGAAAATGGCTTGGTATCGAGAATGGAAGTTGGGCTCATGATGGACTCCGTCTCACACTTGACAGTGAAGTTACTAGTGAATAATTTTGGATAGGTGAGGAAAGCCGGAGTCGGGCTTCCTCCTCCGTTTTTTCCCGTTGGAGAAGGAAGACGGCCATAGTCAGCCATCAGAGCTTGCTTCCTTGCTGCTGCTGTTGATGGTGTTGGTGCTGTGTGTCTCGATCTCTTCCTCAACATAACTCTTTTAACTCGCTGCAGAAGAAGAAATATACCCAAAAGATGAGTTATTTCCTCTTGCTTTAAATCAAGTTCAGTCCGTGACTGTGTAGAAAGAGAGAGAGAGAGAGAGAGAGAGAGAGAGAGGGAATAGAGACCTGAAAAGACGTGGTTTTTGGCCACGAACTGCCACAGGCACAGATTATTCCAACCGGGAAAGACCGGAATCATCTTTATGCTCCACTAGAAAGCAAGAAAGAAAGTTGTGGGTTTTTTCCTTTCTTTTGAAAGAATTGGGTGCTATAGAAAGGAGGAAACAATGGGTTGTGGTACGGTCAAAATCACCATTTTCTCAAGAACCCGGAATCCACGAGCAAAACCCAGATAGGACTCCATGAAAACTGATGTATTCTCTCTCTCTCTCTCTCTCGCTCTCTCTCTCTCTCTCTCTCTCTCTAGCTGCTAACTCTCAGTTGCCTCCGTCACTTTTCACAGTAAATAAGCGAAAGGGAAAGGAAAGGAAAACCCCGCAAAGAAGGCTCCGATTTTCCCTTGGCGGTTTAGGGGAGCCGACATGAAAAGAGACCAAACGAGCATGCATCAAAACAGCAGGAGAAGAATCTGGCCAATAAATAATAATAATGAACAACAGGAGGAGAAAGAAGAGAGGAGAGAGAGGAGAAAAAGTTTGTACTTTCTTGGATCCTTTTGGGGCTAGCCTTTAATCCTCCCTCTATCTTTTTGCCTATTTTGTCCCCTTTTTAACTCCAATTTCGCTCCACCATCACCCTGAATTCAATTCAAGCTCGCGAGTGCAGACAAAGAGGGCTCATGATAGAACCAGAGAGAGCCCCCAGAGAGAGAGAGAGAAATTGCGCAGAGAGGACCCGAGAGGCGACGTGGGGGGTGGTGGCATCAACCCAACATTCATTGAAAGCAAGAAAACGAAAGGTATTGTTGGAAGGGACTAGCCATCGCCGTCCTCTCTCTCTCTCTCTCTCTCCCTGATGAGTCCCTGCTCGTCGTTTCTTTTACCCACTTAAACGTTTCGTCATGGGTCTCGGAGGAAGCCAAAAAGATCAAACCTTGTGGCCCTATGCGTAGGCCTCTCTCTCCACTGTGCTTGCCAGAGAGAGAGAGAGAGAGAGAAGAAGTGTGTGTGAGTGTGCGTGTGCGTGTGCGTGTGCGTGTGTGTGGAGTTGAAGAGTGGATCTTAAAGACGCGCGTGCATGAGAGCGAACTGGTGGTGGTGGTGGTGATGCGTTTGGCTGGACTGGAGTTGAACTGCTGCTGGTTCGCTCCCCCGTCTTTGAAAACAACACAGTCTCTGTGCATCGTGCCTGTCGAGATGATTAAATAAAGAGCGAAATTGCCAGGATGATCCTCGTGTTTCGAACGAATTTTTCGAGGATTATTTTCTGTATTTTCCGCAAGTTGCAGCTCATGAGAATATGAGGTGCTTCACTTGGCGCATCGTTTCCAATCGGGTAGACAGAAAAGGCTAAACTCGAATTGAAACGTTGCCAATCATTACCAAACGAGAAAGAAGAGAAAATAAATGTTTTAGAGATAACCGGGGCTTATTTGTTTTCTGAAAAAATGAATAATTCGAAATATATTTTTCAAGAGATAACTCGTATAGTTTGAAATAGTTAATGTTTTCATTAGAGGCAATAATTTATATCGAAATGTCTTCGTAGACGGTGAAATTGTTCGTTTTGTTTTTAGGATTAATACCACGAAAAACCCTAAACTGGTACATTTGTGACAGATTTACCCCAAACTATTTTTTTTTACCATAAAAAACCCCAGTACATCACGTGATAATTTTACTCGAACCATTTTTTGATCACAAAAACCCCAAACTGGTACACTTGTGACAATTTTACCCCGAACTAATTTTTTAATATTATTTTTTATTTTTTCAATTTTTTTTAGTTTTTCTTTTCTTTTCTTTTTCCTTTCCTTTTCTTTTTCCTTCATCTTCAACCTCTAGCCGGTCACCGGTCTGACGACCGGACGGAGGCGGGGGTCAGCAAGGTCGGTCCCGCCAGCCGCTGGCGAGGCCGACCTCGCCAGCAACTAGCAAGGTCGGCCTTGCCCCACCCCTGGCAAGGTTCGACCTCGCCAGTTGCCGGCGAGGGGTCGTCCTCGCCGTCGCTGGCAAGGTTCGACCTCGCCGCTTCTGGGCGTGGCTAACCTAGCTAGTTGCGGCGGGGCCGACCCTCGCCAGCGACGGCAAGGACGACCTCTCGCCGGCAACTGGCAAGGTCGAACCTCGCTAGGGGTAGGCAAGGCCGACCTCGCCGGCCAGAGATTAAAAATGAAGGAAAAAAAAAAGAAAAGGAAAGGAAAAAGAAAAGATAAGAAAAACTAAAAAAATTCGAAAAAATAAAAAATAATATTAAAAAATTAGTTCGGGGTAAAATTGTCACAGTTGTACTAGTTTGGGGTTTTTGGTAGTCAAAAAAATAGTTCGGGGTAAAATTATCACAGATGTACCAGTTTGGGGTTTTTTATGGTAAAAAAAATAGTTTGGAGTAAATCTGTCACAAGTGTACCAGTTTAGGGTTTTTCGTGGTATTAACCCTTGTATTTAAGCTAGGAAAATATTTTTCAAATTATTTGTACGCACCTTTATAACCATTTTCGCCCATCTTATTGTAAACGTGTGAGAATTATGTTACACGGAATAGTAACCATAATCAACGCGCACCACGCGCTTCTTGTAAATAAAGTTTGAGTAGTTTTGTTCAATTTTTAGATTTACAAAGTACCGCTTGTTTTATATTTTCGATGGTTTCACAATTTTTGCCTTTGGATAATGAGAAAAATAGATACAAGTGGAGAACAAAAAGGAGATATTTCCTTTAAAGGAATTGAATAGATTAAGATTATACACGGCTAATTTAAAAAAAATGAACATGAGACGAAACTCTATTTTCGTTTAAATATATAGATGTCGCGTTACATGGTTATGTTATGTTATTGATATGGTATAACATGCCAATAAATATATTAGGCAAACTTCCTCAAATCACGACAAATCTTACTTCCGCCATTTCTGTTATCATTAACTATTCATGCAAAACTTATGATCATCGTACATTAACTTATTAGGTCCATTACTAACGTAAGCAACGTTTTACACATTTGTCATTGGATGAGAGACGTTTATACTTAGAGATCGTTGTGCAACTGACTTTATTCGCATGCCATCCATCCAGTGATAAATGTGTAAAAAGCTTTTGAAATGGTGACGAACGTAGTAATTATTTTAAGTTTGGAGTGTGTATTGACACAAGTGACTCCATGACATCAGATCACCATAATAACCTTAGCACTCAGATGTTAAACAAATAATTCTGAGACATATAATATGGTTGCTATCTCATCAATTTAATTAAAAAATTGACGAGTGGCAGATTATCATATTCCTCTTTATTCCACAACAACACTCTTTATATTTATAATTATATTGGCCCCAATCTATGAAGAATCTATGAAGGTGGTTGATCGCCTCCCAAAACCTTAGTGTATAGTACTGTTTTGGCCTATATGTAGTACAAATTTTTCTAACTCCAATACCAAACTCCACTTTCTCATTTTTTGCATCCTTCCCTTTTCTTCCTTATTTATAGAAATATTTATTTCTAGAATGAAGGACATACTTAAATATAAAACACATAGATAGTAATGACATTGGGTGCCTAGACTTAGAGAGCAACACCAAAGAAAACCCTAATATAGATCAGATTATGTTAATTGCCCAAACCCTAACGATAATAGCTTACTTATGCTTATGGGTTTTATATTTACAAAAAAAAAATATTTTTGGGGGTCAGAACAAGAGAAGTACGTATAAGTTTTCATCAAAAGAGGAGTCAAAAGTCTTGAGATGGTGGGTGGCAAGTGAACCATATTGGCTTGCATCATCCGGGATCCATTTTCCTTGAAAGATGTGCAATTAATAAATAAAAAAAGCGCAATATTGTTTATATTTATATATCCGTTTGATTAAAATATGTACGTTAATCATAGAAAATGTGGTTTGGTGGCGTTCGAGAAATGTGCGATTACGTACTAGGTGCGATTATGGATTTTAGTTGGAGTAGTTCGTATCGGTGGGAATAATGTACTCTTTCTAGATTGTATTCATTGTCACATGACATCAAAGGTGTACGATTATGAAAAGATATTGAAGAAAAGAATATCGTTCTATTATAATTATACGGATACAGTGTCTTATCATTCGTGCGGCATTTCATGTATTCGACATTTCATAAATTTTTTTTTTTTGAGATGAAGAATTAAGTTTTGAAAAACCTATATTTTACACTTTGGAGGTGCGCACTCCGTAGAATGTGCAACAAAACTGGGGGTGCAAAATGCATATTCTCTTTGGAAAAAATTCAATAGTGTGAAAGTGTTAGGATCATGAATCTAGAAATATAATTATGTACAAGAAGTAAAATAAGGGGATGTAAAAATGAGGATGAAGAGAAAGTTAATTGACCGAAACCGATGCACACCCTTCCATATAATTATGTATATTTGAATCAAAATTCGTGAAAACGTGAGTGTGCTAGAAAAAAGCCTCTGTGGAGGTGGGTGTAGTCCGTTTCTATGCTTGTGCTCCGACCAAGGGTGCAAAACGGAGTAAAAGGAGATCGTGAATCAACTGTGTTTGTGAATCTATAGGGTTCGTGCCAAATTGTCTCGTGAAGAATTTACTCGAGATTGAGAAAGGCACACACAATTAATGAATGGAAATCTTATACACGTGCTTCCTTCATGTCGAGCGCATGTATAATCTCTCCGTGTGATGATTGGACCGAAAAGAAGTAATGGATAATATCTAGTTGATCCGTAACCTCAATGGTTTAAGTTTTTAAATTAAGGTGTGGAGATGTCAACAGGCTCAAATTCTGGACTCTGTCTTTAATCTCTACATTATAGAGACAAATTGGCTTCTGTTGCTCTTCTCCATTCATAATCTAAAGAAGGTTGATGTGACCTAAGTTCTAATGATAAAACTTGACAAAAATAAACCAAGATGGAGTCAAAATAATCAAAGATGGAGTCATTATGTCGACATACTGTTATTTAAAGTCTAAATTGAGGTCACTACACGGAAAATGGTCCAAAAGTCCTAAATATATTACATCTTCGTCAATTTAGTCATAATCCTTTTGCATTTGTACAAATTCAGTCCATTCAGCCAATGCTGACGTGGTAATTTTTTTTTTCATATTTTAATATTTTTTTGAAATTTTTTAACTTTTCCTTTTTTTATTTTCTTTCTTTTTCTTTTTTTTTTCTACCCTTCTTCCCTCTCGCCGACCTCTGACGAAGCTCGCCCCCATTGGCCACTGGCAAGGCTCGACTAGCCAAGGGCGGGCGAGGCTCGCCCTTGCCAGTGGCCGATAAGGCCAAGTTTCGCTAAAGACCGGTAGGGTCGCCTCGCCGATCTGAGGGAAGAAGGGTAGAAAAAAAAAAAGAAAGAAAAGAAAAAAAGGAAAAAATTAATAAAAATTTTGAAAAAAAATATATTAAAAAATTTGTCAAATCAGCGTCGGCCAAAATTGGCCGAATTGATTGAATTAGCACAAATGCAAAAGGTTGAGGACTGAATTGGTAAATTTGAAAGGTTTAAGACTAAATTGGCAAAAATGCAAAATGTCTTGGAGGGCTACATTGAAATTTCACACAAAAATTTAGGAATAAATGAGCAAGTTTGTAACTGAATTAATATCCGTACAATAAATTTAAGACCGGTCGGGTAATTTTCCTAATATGTGGATTATATTATATTAGCTTGGCAAAATACCTTCGGAACATTAGTGAGGTTTACCCTCAAATCCATTGCTTTATTAGGAGTATACCCGGACTCTCAATCGTAACCAAAGGGTCTAGGAACAAGGACAGAGCAGTTGACCATCAAATTTCACAACAGGAACACATTATAACCATTCAATTGGGCGACGCATTCGATTCGTCCATGTTGTAATCAGTCCTCGTCATTGCTGATGCGGACAAAATTATCAAACGACACGACCCATTTGACAAAAAAAGGAACACCATTGAAAAACACACATACATATGATTGGACCAGATATTATATACCACCCATGTACAACAATCTTTGTAAAAATTTCATTTTCCTTCAACTTTGGACTTCATAAAGATCAAAAAGTTGCATTTTATCCCCCCGAATTTGCATTTTCCTTCTGTATATATTATGTATTATCTATTGAAATTAAGAGCAGAAAGGACAATTTAATACAAAATCAAGAAAATGGTGCAGTTAACACTAATGGAAAATGTTGACGGTTTTAACTAATATAAGAATTCGAGGGGTTAAATGCAAGTCTTTAAAGTTCAGGGTTTAATGTATACACACTTCGAAGTTGAGGGGGGTAAAACGAAAATTTCCCTATCTTTTTTTTTTTTTTGTTTTTTTGCGCTGAAAGTCAGATTGCAATCGGTCGTGTAGACTTTCTGCCTTAACTTTCAACACGTAAATTTACGGCCTCCTTCAGATGTTACTTTCATTTTGAAAAATGTTCAAAGAGTCTGACGAGGATCCATGGCATTATTCCAATCAAGAAAGTTCTAACGTCAATTATAAAATAACCTCTGTACAAAGAAAAAATGTAAACTGATCTGAAATTCCACTAGCATTGTTGACTCAATTTTCGGAATATTAGGCTAATCAAGAATCCTCGAAAAGACAGACACCAAGCCATAGTAGCCGTTGAAGAACACCGCCTGAAAAATTTGACTTTTGAGAGTCCAAACATAGAATTTGACTGATAAAGTTAAAGTATTCTTTTCCCTCGTTCCCTTTCTTTTATATAGCCTGAGCGTTCGACTTTCGATTGGCAATCACTTAGTTTCATGTTGAGTGAGGCATTACTTCAACCCCATGTAGTAACTGGAGCACACCAGTCTGTGCAGTTATGACTGCTTCGAAAAAATGTTCAAATATGTTGATGTTCGAAAGAGGACTTTGATTGGAGTACACGAGCATGTGTCGATCGGCAATTCTATGGGATCGAATGAAAAGGCAATGGGAAATGTACTTAAATCATTAAAAATTGATGGTGAGAGAAGAATAATAATGAGAAACAAGGGTACCTCTCATGACAAGAACTTGAGAGGGACATGACATTAAAAGTCTAAAGCTTCCTCAAAATGAAATTTATATAGATGGCAATAATGGCCCTGTGCAACAAGGTCTTCTAGATGACCTTGAATGGGCAATGAAGTACATTTCATGATCGGAAAAATCAAGTTAGAGGACCCCAAAAGAGAAATCGAGGACTCAATTGCAAAAATTGCTTAAATTGGAGGACTAAATCTAGTATTATTCCTTATAAGTTGAATCTATACTAGCATTAATGGTTAGACTACGGAGCCTCCTTCTTTCTCGCCAAGTTAGGATTTCCTCTCTTTTTTCTTGAAACCGCTACCTCTCAACAGTGCCGTCCCTGAGGAAGAGAGAGGGATCTTTCTCACCCCCCATTGGATCGAGCAATTCAATGGGTTTGAACGAAGAGCCGATTGAAAATATACTTAAATCATTAAAAAAATTTGGTGAGAGAAGAATAATAATGAGAAACAAGGATACCTCTCAAGACAAGAACTTGATAGGGACATGACATTAACAAGTCTAAAGCTTCCTCAAATGGCATTTATGTATATGGCAATAATAGCCCTGTGCAACAAGGTCTTCTAGATGACGTTGAATGGGCAATGAAGTATATTTGATGATTGGAAAAATCAAGTTAGAGGACATAATTTGTACCCAATTGCAAAAATTGCTTAAATTAGAGGACTAAATCTAGTGGATTCCTTATAAGTTTAAATCTATACTAGCATTAATGTGCACATGTAAGTATTAGGATGCACGTATGAGTTGTGTTAAAGAATTTCCACGTTGAAGAATTGATGTGGTGTGGAGTAGTTCATACATCATTATTGACTCATAACTCATTGACTTAAGTTTTTGAATGAAGGTGAATCCATTCGGATATGTTGACTGGCTCAAGCTTGGGCTCTCTTGGCGATCTCCCCTAGCGAAAGTATTGGGCTTTTGCTATGCGCTCCCAGCAAATGGTATCATGACCAATAGTTGGTGACCAATCCGATGGGCATTGTGGTGTAGCAATGCGAGCCTAATTGTGGACTTCATGGTTCAATATGGAGAAAAAGACTAGGGATGAAATTGAGATTGATGGAGATTCAAGATGAGATATTTTGATGTAGAAGGATACTTGGATTAAGGGGGAGCGGGCCTAACACCGAACTCACACGTGAGGAGGAGATTGTTAAAATAAATATGTGAGTTGTGTTAGAGAAATTTCACATTAAAGAATTGATATGGTGTTGAGTAGTTCATATATTTTAGTTGGCTTATAACTTATTGGCTTAAACTTTTGAGTGAATGTAAATCCAACTAGATATGTTGATAGACTCAGACTCGGGCTCTCTCTTGGCGATCTCCTCTAACGAAGGTATCGGGTTTCTACTGCGCTCTCTCAACGGGAGGTGTGTGGAAGAGAGAGAATGACAGTTTGTGGGAGAGAAAGTGATAGAGTAATGTGATGAGTGGCTATTAAGAGGGAAAGAAAAGAGAAGTGATGACTACCTCTAATTACATACCTTGATCATCCTCTTTGCTTCTCTATTCATGAAGGAAAGTGGTGAAGGGAAATCCACGAGCTAGGCCTAGAGAGGACGATTCAAGCCCAACCTAGGCGCAATCCCACAACCCGGCGAGTCTAGGACAGGAAAGTCGGCTCGTAACCCCGCTGTCTTGGTCTCTTGCTAACTTAAGCATCGAAGAATCCTGCTAAGGTGAAATCCAAAAGGCCGCCTCGCATGCGACGTGTAGGTCCGGCACATATAGCGTTAGCGGGCCACCGGATTCGCGCATCCTCTCAGAAAGGTGTGGAGCAAAAACGTTGTTGGAACCACGTTTCAATTATTGCTTTAAGTGGTGCAAGCCACTTAAGACCCAATGAACTGACCGTGGAATGTCTTGTGAAAACCTAAAAACAGTAGAAACATCAAGTTACCAACATACTGTTGTCGTTGAAAGTGCAGTGCGAGCTGATCGTAAGTTACTTGAGCTAAGATCTCTCTGAATTCAATTAGTTCAAGCATTGAGCCAAGTCAAGCTTTAGCTTCAAGTTACTTCAACTCATGCAAGATTGCCAGTCTAGTTAATTAAGCAAGACCCATTTGCTTCAGTTTTGCTTACATATTCGTGTGTATACATATGCGTTTCGGACGAGATCAGACGTGTCCTGATCTTCGCTCGTGCAAGGTAAAAAACCTTTCCGTCGTTTAAGAGGTGTGATCTCAAATTGTATGCTTGAATTCAAGTTTGTGGCAGAAATTTCTCATGGATAGTCAAAAACGCTCTACCTCATCGAGATTGAACTCGAGAACCAGCTCGGCTGAGCTCGAACAGAGCATGAACACACATTATCAGAACCGAGTTGAACTTGATTAATAAACCAGTCCCACTCGATACGATCCTCAACAGCTACAATAGGATACAAACACCTTCATTGCATCATTCAACAGGCAGATGAAGCAAGAGTTTGCTCACTCAAACTATTTATGAATGGTCAAATAAATGGCTGGAGAGTTTGATCAAAACTTCAAAGAATGAACATCTCCCTCTCAAAGCTTCATAAATGGCTTCTTCTTCTCTCTTTGATCAACCCAGAATCTCATCCGTGGACAACAAGCTATACAGGTACATATCCCTGACCTCGCCTTTGCAAATCCCATACTTCCTCAGCAGCCCTTCCTTCACGAACCCGACCTTCTCCAAAACCCTCTGAGACCCTTCATTCTCCACTTCCACAAACGCCTCCAGCCTCACCAGCTCAGGCATTTCGTCGAACACGCGGCGGGCGGCCATCCTCAGCGCCGCCGTCGCGAACCCCCGCCCCCAGAACTCCGCCCCGACGGCGTAGCCGACGTGGGCGCGGCACCGATCGTCTCCGGACCCGGGCTTGACGGAGACGTACCCGATCGAGCGGTCGCCGAGGCAGATGGAGCGACGCCACGGGTGGGGAATGGCGACGTCCCGGAGATACGACTCGGCGGCCTCCAGCGAGGCGACGGAGTCCCAGCGGAGGTAGCGGGTGACCCTGTCGTCGCCAGCCCACGAGAGGAAGTCGGCGGCGTCGGAGAGTTCGAAGGGTCGGAAAGTGATTGCGGAGGGCGAGGGATCCATGGAAACGGAACAGAGGGAAGGTAGAATTTGGAGTTTGGAAGGAGGGTGGACTGGTCAAGTATTTTTTTTGGATGAATCAAATATTTCACTAACATGTAAATAATCAATTACCACTTTAAGAATTTTTGAAGTAAATAAATTCAATCAAGTGACATTGCAACTATGTTGTTGTTGCCAACTGCATTCTTTATTGCTAAAAATATAAAAAAAAGTGGAAAAAGAAAATGTATTTGAGATGTTCTTGTGTGAAAATAAATGCGTGAAATGATATTAGGAACTTCATATTTTTCGCATTCTATAAGGCCTTTATTAATTTATTGAATAAAGACAATATCATAGTTTTATTACATTATGGAATTATCATAAAAAAAGGTGTAAGTATTAAGAAGGAAAATCTGTGCTGGATAATTTTTCTCTTCAACTATTTAAATAATAATTACAAATGCAAAATATAGCATTATTGTTAGGGATGATGATATCACAAAAAATCTTAATCTGGTACACCTACGACACATTATCTCAAATTAATTTTCGTGCACAAAAAATTTATAAATAGTACGTATATCCCTGATAAATTTACCATTAGTTTCTATCTAATATCTCGCTATATTGCTGATGTGGAAATACACGTGGCAAGCAAATTGGCTGACGTGGATTCAATGCGAAAATTCAACATAAATGGTTCATAGAAATGACGTTGTGGAGATTCAGTCTCGTTGGATGAATCAGTCTTACAGGGAAGAGAAGATCTTGTAATGAGTCATGAAACTTCGGCCATTTCAGGGCGAGCATTGAGATCGTTGGCAACATATCTCTTCGCAAGCTTTTTCATGGAAAAAAGCCAAGATAGAATGTTCAATTTTGAGCGAAGACTCTTTGAAACCCTAGCACATTCTATCTCACCGTATCTCCATCGAGCACACTCTTGATGGGTAGCAATCCCTCTCTCTTGTTGCCATTTCCAGGGGGAAGAACAGCATTGGTGCCAAAACTTGTGTACGGAGGCTACTTTGGTGCCAAAAGTTTCAATCGGATCACTTAAGTGCTAAAAGTTGTGAAAAACGATCACTTAAGTGCCACTTCACCGGAAATCCGACGTGGCATTTTTTTATTAATTTCTCAAGCTGATGTGGCTCGCCGGAGACTAATGTGGCTCGCTGGAGGCTGATGTGGCATTTCTTTTCTTTTCTTTTTTCCTTTCTTTTTTTTTTTTTCCTTTTCTTTCTTTTTTCCTTTCTTTTCTTTTTTTTTTCTTTTCTTTCTTCTTATTTCCGATGGCCGGCGTCCGGCCACTAGCCATGGCTGGCCTCGCCGGGCGTCGCCTTCCTCCGGGGGAGGCCCGGCCTCGCCGGATCTGGTGAGGCGAGCCCTCGCCGAGGCTCGCCTTGCCCGGGCGAGGTCGAGGTGGCCTGGGCGGGCGAGCCCCGGCGAGGGCTCGCCTCGCCGGATCCGGTGAGGCCGGCCCTCGCCGAGGCCACGGCTGCCTCGCCGGGCGTCGCCTTCCTCCGGGCGAGGCCCGGCCTCGCCCGGATCTGGCGAGGCGAGCCCTCGCCGGGGCTCGCCCCGCCCAGCGACCTCGACCCTCGCCCGGGCGGGGCGAGCCCCGACGAGGGCTCGCCTCGCGTATCAGCGAGGCCGGCCCTCACCGAGGCCACGGCTGCCTCGCCGGGCCTCACCCGAATGAAGGCGACGCCCGGCGAGGCCGGCCATGGCCGGTGGGTGGCCTCCGGCCACCGGCCATGGTAGAAGAAGAAGAAGACAGAAATGAAAAAAGAAAAGAAAGAAAAGAAAAAAGAAAAGAAAGAAAAAAATCAGAAAAAAATATTTAAAAAATTGAATTATACACATGGAAATGCCATGTGTCATTAAAATTTAACTATAAAAGCCACGTATTAAATTTGGTCGGAATTTCTCGCCGTTGGCACTTAAGTGATCGTTTTTTCTCCGATTTGGCACTTAAGTGATCGCCGGCGTAAACTTTTGGCACTTAAGTGATCCAAATGAAACTTTTGGCACCAAAGTGGCCTCCGTACACAAGTTTTGGCACCAATGCTGTTCTTCCCCCTCCAATTCCAGCAGCTTCCATTTTAAATAAGAGCTTCCTCGTGTTTCGAAACCTGCTTCTATCCCTAATTTTACCCCAATTTTGCCCTAATATTTTGGTGATTTGATACAGAGAGAAGGGGTAGATTCATTTTTGTCACGATTCCCAATCCCAGTTCATTTTCTTCAGATTTGTCTTCCCCACAACAACTTCCTTCAAAGAGAAATATGCCGAATTTTCATGTCGGATCCAAGTCGGATGAGTTGCTTAACACGTGTGTTTCGCATTAGCAATTTTACAAGGATATTTAGCGAAGGCCACATAGGGTAGATCTATCATAAGTGTATTGGTTTGGAATTTTTTGTGAAATAAAAATTAATTTGGGATAAATATGTCATGGTTATGCTAATTTGAGATTTTTTACAATGCAAAAATTAATTTTTGGTGAATATGTTATAGGTGTATTAGTTTGAAATTTTTAGTGGTATTGTCTCTTTTTGTTATGGAAAGCGAAAGTGAAGCCAAATGTACCATATTTAGACTTCAAGAACTTAAATAAGCATATATTGATTGATTTTTTTTTGTACTTCTCTAGGGATTAGACTATAGTATCATCTCCATTATGATTATATGCAACGATAAATAATGTCCATGTCAGCGCCAGTCATCTAGTCGTGCCACATAGAACGACCGGTATTCATGTTTGCAATTTTTGGCCTAAATTGGCCGGATGGACTCAATTGGCACTAATGTGGATAGATTTAGGATTAAATTGTTCCAATTGAAAGGTTTAGGACTAAATTGGTACCAATATAATATATTTACGACTTTTTTTATGCTTTTCCCAATTTTAGGTCTCACGCTAATTTTTGACTCATGGTTCAGCTTCTCTATTTAATCCCCAACACTTTTGATAATTGATTTTGATTGGCTATAGTCGATTCACCGTACTATATGATAATTTTTCCGTTGGCCCAAAAGTGCTAGTATCATCAAATTTTTAGTTTAAAAATTACAATTTTTAGATTAGTGCCGTTGCTCGATCGGGGAAAGAATTGCTCCAGTAATAACCGTGGTCGTTGAGGCTGAGCTTAGTCCTTGGTCGATCGCCTTAGGATGAGTACTTGTCAACAATCTACACATATGTGCATCTTCCGTGTGTTCGTTAACTAGACTGTATATTCGATGTTAATCAAGTTCACTACAAAAAAACATGTTCTTTGCGACGGATTTTGCGACGAAAAAATCGCAAAAATCCGTCGCAAATCGATTTTGCGACGGAAAAAATTCCGTCGCTACTAGGTCGTCGCAAATATTTGCGACGGAAAAAAAAATTCGTCGCAAAATTAGTTGCAAAATTCGTGGCAAAATTCGTCGCAAAATTCGTGGCAAAATTCGTCGCAAAATTCGTGGCAAAATTCGTCGCAAAACTAGTCACAAAATTCGTGGCAAAATTCGTCGCAAAATGTATTGGACGGAAATTAGGCACGAACTTGATTCGTCGCTACTTATTCGTCGCAAATTAGCCACGAACTGTAATGGTCGCAAAATTCGTATGTAAATATTCGTCACAAATTTTACAGCATTTCGGCCATCAAATCTTGTCCATATCAATTGCTACGCATTATTGAACATCATGTAATACATTGAAAACAGTCAAAGGACACGAGAAAACAGTAGATTCCGCTTCAGAAACAGAAAACGAACAAACCAGACACAAAGCCATATAATTGAAAAATGTAACTGAAGGAAAGATGCTAGTTCGCAAAAAATAATGATATATATCAAGTTGCAAAGCCTGACACGATGATATTTGATATCCAATCTTATAATACATTCAAAATATTCATAGGAGGCGGGACAACCATAGAGATGCTTAGAAAATGAAAAATCGACAAACCAGACACAAGATTGGGCAGCTGTGATACTCGGCAGGACACCAAAAGCAGTTACTTTTGTGGACACCTGATGAAATGTGGATACATAAATAAAGATATTCAGTCAGTACAGAATATAAAAGAAGTGCTTATGCATGGATGTGGAACTAGGTATAAAAAAACAAGTAAGAGGGTTAACAAAAAAACGGGCAAAAGAACACTACAAGTGCCATAACTTGTGTACGGCGCTCACTTTGGTGCCATAAGTTTTTTTTGGATCACTTTAGTGCTAAAATTTTTGAAAAACGATCACTTAAGTGCTAAAATTTTTGAAAAACGATCACTTAAGTGCCAACTCCGGTGCCGTACACAATTTTTCTCCGGAAATCCGACATGGCACTTTTTTTATTAATTTCTGAAGCTGACGTGGATCGCCGGAGGCTCGTCGGAGATTGGCACTTAAGTGATCGTTTTTCAAAAATTTTAGCACTTAAATGATCATTTTTAAAAAATTTTAGCACTTAAGTGATCGTTTTTCAAAAATTTTAGCACTGAAGTGATCCAAAAAAAACTTATGACACTTAAGTGATCGTTTTTCCTCCGACTTGGCACCAAAGTGATCCGAAAAAAAGTTATAGCACCAAAGTGATCTCCGTACACAAGTTATGGCACTTATAGTGTCCTTTTGCCCAAAAAAACGTTTCAGGACGAACATCAATGTTCTTACATATGAGTATGAGTCAACTTTGACATCCACTGTAGTTTTTTCACCCTTGTAAACCGTATTTCTGTCACATAGGAAAAATTAGATCCTTGAACCTAGTTGTAAGAAAGTTGTGCACAAAAAGTAATTGTAGGGCAGGAACAAATTAGGTGAAACTGCACTTATGTCATAAAAGAGTGTGAAGCAAGCTTACCCCCGATTTTGGCAATTTCAACTAGAAAGGATCGAGAAAATCATCAGCATCATCATCAATGTCAGCATCATTGTGCTCATCACCTATTGGATTGGCAGGAGGTACAGGAGGAACCTGACCGCGATTGATGTTGAGGTGTTGCATAACGATTTGCATTTGCTGTTTCAAGTCATTTATTTCTTCGTCCCTCTCTACAATTATATTTTTCAGGT